GTTCTACTAGTTTGACCTATGTATTTGACCTGACAATCATTCCAGCAGGGTATTAGATAAACTAAATTGTTTTTTTTTAAAGACTCCACAGGATTCCTTTAACAGACAAAGCTTGTTTCTAATTGAGTTTGTGGGTTTGAATGCCAGCCACTTTTATTCCTGCCTGCCTTGTTAAGAATTCTGCGTAAGGTGGTTTCCGAGGTTCCTTCCTTGTATGGAATTACTACTGATGATTTAGATTCCTTATTGTTGGTGTCGTCATTATTATTATTATTATTATCACTATTATTATTATCATTATTATTGTTATTATCACTATCGCTACTATCATTATTTATTTTATTTTTACATTTCCTTACATATTTCCTGACTAATTTATCCGGGTAATTATTAAGTTTCAAGGCTTCTTATATGTGTATCAGTTCCTGTTTTAGATTTTCTTTGGTACTACCTAGTTTTTGTGCTCTGTCATTTAAACATTTCACCAATCCTATTTTTACTGACATAGGATGGGATGATCGGAAGTCCAAATATCTGTTTGAATGTGTGGGTTTCCTGTAAACACTAGTGTTTAACTTCCTATCTTCTTTCCTTTTTACGTTGCAATCTAACATTGGGAGCTCCCCTTCCTGATTTTCCAATTCATAAGTGAATTGAATTGCTTCAACCTTCGAGTTGATGTGTTCGAAAAACCTATCTACATCTTGTGTTCTAAGTACAGTGAATGTGTCATCTACATACCTCCACCATACTTTTGGGGTGAGGTGAACGTTTCAATCGCTACGTTTTCCCCCTTATCTATGAATACATCTGCTACAACCGGGGATATTGGTGATCCGATGGCAACTCCTTCAGTTTGTTTGTATATTTTCCCTTGGAATTTAAATACTGTGGAAGTCAGGCATAGCTGTACTCCCAGCATTATGTCCTCAAGTGGCACTCTGTTTATCGAATCAACTACAAATACATGTAATAGGAATGATTCATCACCTGTCCCCGATATCTGGAAAATTCTACTACCCATACCAAAAATAGGAGAGAACAAAGAAAACTATAAAACTCAAGTGTCAAAGTCGTGTGATTACAATTGATATGATTATGAACATAATAAATTTTGTTCGAAACGTCATCCAGTAAATAATACTGTTTCACTGTGTGATATATCTAATAAACAAACTAATATGGAATTACTTACTACCACAGTGCCCAAGTTTTACACATATATTAAGAAAGTATTGCTTCGTAGGGATCTGATTGATTGGTTACAGGATATCATCATGAACTGATGTGGGTTACAGAATCATTGAGAAACCAGCCGGGAGTACTGGACAGCTTTTTCGTCCTAGTTCAGGACTTTCTATCAGTATGCACTAACCCTACTGACAGGATTCGAATATAGGACCTTCTGATAACAAGACGAGCTAGCTCGTAGACTATTTAGCCACTGAGAACCGCCAGTTCAATGGCCCATGAATTCCAACTTCTGCCAATTCGCGACATAGCACGATCACTAGCCAGTGTCTTCGGCGAGTAATTGTCCTCACTCATGTACTGTTGTACCCTACTGGTCATTTCTAATTTGCAGAAGCCCTACATATACGGGTGAATCCCAACAGTTTAAACAGACGTGGTGTGTCGTTAGCTGATGCATGACAAATCCTGACTAATAAGTAAAAATTGGATATGTATCAACAATAGTCATACTTGGTCAAATTCCCGATTCTCTAACAAATGTTTTATGGCTGTTCACCCACACACACATACACATATACACATATATTTTTAACAAAATCCAGTAACCAATCTACCAAATTCCTACAAACCAATACTTGAAAAGTAGACTAATTTTGAAAGTTTGAGGTCAAATTTTGATCACAGTTCATGCAATTTTTGTCTATTATACCTGTTGATATCAGTTTCATGTTTCATATGACAGGACAAACAATTAAAAACAAGAGATGTCCTTTTATATATAAATATATAATTCCGTTTGTTTATTATACATGTTGATGCCTGTTGCATGACTCATGATTGGACAAGGCTTAAAACAAGAGTTGTTCCTTTTACATATAAACCTCTGTTATGTTAATTTCGATTGATTTCCCTGAAGAGGTTCGGACCAGATTGCCGAATGCAGGAAACGTTGGAATTAATCGTTTCAATTTCGCTGAGATTTTACAAATATAATTTTTTTAAATATGTAAGATATTCTAGAGTTTTCCTTTTTTCATTGGACACTAGTTAGTAACTAGTCTAGTGTGTCTAGTCCTCCTATCTTTGGTGCCTACTGAATTCTATCAGTCAAGTTTGCAATGTGGCCACTAGGTGCCTCACCATCATGTTTCACTGTGAACTTTTGGTATTAGATGGTTGAAGGCGATCGGCCAGAGGAAGCCTAGATTTAGTGCTTGTTGGTTGGCACTCACTAGACAACAAAGTGTATCTGCAACCACCTTGAAGTAACTAATATCCCTTCTGAGATTCCAACTGGCGTCACCCAATGCTGCTGTCAGTCAGTCAGAGGGCGTTACTACTGAGCTGTTCGGACTCACGATTGACAGTCACAATTATATATAATTACTTTTGTACGTATGTGTACATTGGCCTTGTCAGACAAGATTAAAAATTATGAAGATATTTCTATAATGTGACAAATAATCGAATTTTAACTAGGAGGTGGATGAAGATCAACAAGAGTCTAGTGGTGATGAGTTGTCGTAAGATAGTTGTCAGTTTTAGTCAATGCATCAGAGAAGTTGAATAAGTACATTGTAGTTACGTAATAAGATTAACGACTTGATGAGTGAGTTTTAATCAGGGTGTACATAGAAAGGAAGGACAACGTGAAATTATGTAAGAATTGTGAAGAAATACAAGATTTTCAAGTATTGGTTTTGTAGGAATTTTTTATTTGATTGGTTGGAGGATTTCATCATGAGTTGACATCAGTTAGAGAACCACTGGAAAACCTGGGAGTAATGGACAGCTCTTTCGTCCTAGTTTGGCTCATGATGAAATCCAGTCTAGGCCAGTCTAGGTACTTCATCTATCATCTACCAATACTTGAATACCAATGAGATGCTCACTAGCGACTTGCCATATTCAGGTAGGCAAATACCTGGGATTCTAGTGGGAAGCCATGACCAGTAGGGTACAGCAGGTGAAAGATGGGGCAGGAACTCATCGAAGAAGACACTGCGCAATGGTCGCGCTATATCGTGAATTGGTAGAAGTTAGAATTGACTGACTGGCCATTAGAACGGGTCCCAGTGACTCAGTGGTCTACGAGTTAGCTCGCCTTGTAACCAGAAGGTCTTGGATTCGAACCTTGGTGGGCGCGTACTGTTGAGGAGTCCCAAACTAGGACGAAACAGCTTTCCAGTACTCCCGGCCGGTTTTTCAGTGGTTCTCTAACTAATGTTACCTCATGATGAAATCCTCCAACGAAATACAAGATTTACAAGGAGTTAGAAAACCAGGCACACAAACATCAAGTAGGTAGAAATCAGCAAGGTTGTTGCCATGATAGAAGTGTTTGAATGATTTTCTTTTGCACACATAACTCTGGTTTCTCCAACTGAATGAATTATGCTTCAGCAATACATAGGAGACGAAAGCGTATTGCCTTTGGTAGGTGATTCTTGACTCTGTAGATTACTTGGAAACAGGAGGCTTTTGTTAAGATGGAATAATCAGTGTTGACTGGGTGCTCAATGATCGCGCTCCTTATATAGCCACTAGTATCTTTTTGCAGCCATGCCGTGGGATAGTGTTCTCGAACCCTTTTGAACAGGATACGCTTTGGACGACCAATGTACCTGACACCACAGCAACAGGTGAACTGATATATGCACTTTGACATAAGAATAGAACTCGGGCACTGTGGTAAAGTATAATTCCATTGTGAGTGAAATTTATTTTGATAAAGTCTCACAGAGTGTTATACAGTAATATTAACTGATGACCACGTTTCGAGCATAATTTATTACCGCAGCTCATAATCATATCAAGGCACTACTCATACAACTTACTAACTTCGTTCATATGATTCCATTATTTTCCATCGCTTGACTTGATTGGTAGTAGTATTTTCCATATTTCCGGTGGTATTAGTGACGAGTCACTGCATTCTATTGCAGGTGTTTGGTGTGGACTGAATGAAGAAGGATTTAGCAATCAAACCCTCTATCTACCTACCTATGATTCTTCTTAGAATTTTAATTCCCTCCCACCCAATTGTTTGGTTGTGTGTTAATGCATGCAGTGCAATTGCAGCTGAGCTTTTTTCTAAATTACTTAATTTCGCTGGGTCCACCATTCTAACCGTAGCCAAATTCTTACGTTCTGACAATCCGATATATGCACATGCAGGTGATCAGATGAGAGATCTTTTCATTAAGACTTCTGCATATCAGTGGACTGATGGACAACACTACCCTTAGCGTTGCTGTGAAGAGTGTTCTTCTAAAAGATACTGAAATTTTTCTGTAGAGGATATCTCACACTAAGATTCCTCTGAGATCGAGGTTCATGTAAAGTTTCTTTTTTAGAAGAAGTAATTTGTTCGTTCCTGTGGACTTATGGTCTGATACTCCCATCGATGAAACTTAGTGGGCATCCATTTTGAATCTACCGAAAACAGACTCTTTGCTCAACTACGTGTTTTTTTGTTTTAATTAATGTCTGGATGAGGATTATTCATAGAATTTGTCAAAGTGTTGTACATCCATGGCTAAATGAAGAAACGTCTCATTGAAGTCTTTATTTTTTACACATGTTCTTCTATTTGTGCTTCTTTATACGATTTCCATATTGCCTCACGGAGGTGTCTCATTCTTCCTCTTCGAATTTTGATCCATTGCTCCGCTATTCAATATTCTTCCAGAAGACATATATACATTTATATAGAAAAATTACTAAATTTTTAACGATTACTCAATTTTATAACCAAATGCATTTTTACAATACTCTATAATTTATTTCATTGATTATTTCTGTAGCCATCTGCTTGTGATTCAACGTTGACAAGTTTGAACAATCCTCGAATAACATTTTTACCTCCTGGCCTACGTATAATACAACGTTCTGTACCTTTGTATTTAATTGAAAGTGTGCCAAGCAGTCATTTGCCAGTGAAAAAACAAGGTTAGTCTCCATTTGGTGTCTATTGTCTAGTTGTTTTTATGCATTGGTACTGCCTGAATTCCATCAGTCATTTCATCGTGTGATCATCAGGCGGAAAGAGACTTACCATCTCAGATAGATAGTTTCAAGGAGTCGGTAGAACACCCTGTAAGTTGCATCTGAAACAGACAAAATGATGGTGTGGCTATGGGGTTACCACTAGGACCCATTCTAGCTAACATTCTCCTTGCAAACCTGGAGAATGGACCTTTGAAAGATGTGGTTGATGAACTAGGATTCTACTCTCAGTACATAGATGATACATTTCTGGCCATGAAAAATGAGGATGAAGCAAAGAACATCCTTGACAAATTTAACGATGTTTATCCCACAATAAATTTTACCATCAAGAAAGAAAGACTCTAGTATTTCTTCCTTACAGGTCCTCATGACTAGAAAAGAGGACGGTACAATAATAATAAGTGTATATAGAAAACCTACATCAAGCACTCAGTATACTCATTTCTCCAGCTTTTTACCTTTGAAATGCAAATACAATCTAATAAAGTGCTTTGTCCGCCACAGAGCAACAGCTATCTGTTCTGATGAATTTCTTAATGAAGAGCTCAATATTATTAAGCAGATGCTGAGTGAGGACGGTTACCCAGTAAAATTCATTGATAAGAATATGAATCAAAAGTCAAGTCAGGTCAAAGTACCAATCAACAGTTCCGAGGAAGGAGGGTCTTGTTCTTACAACTTCAGTTCCTCGGTGATGATAACATCAGTGAGGTATTAACACAACGCCTAAAGAATACGGCGGTAAAACGAAGAGCATTCAGTGCTGCTGAAGTATGCTGTGTCTGCAGAACCACCCCACTATTTTGCGTTTGGGGAGTTAAAGATAAACTACCTAATTTCGCGTCTTCCCTCAATGTGAATTTGTCGATTTGAATGCTCCTGTGGAGTGAGCCAGTTACTTACATAGGCACTACAATTAAACGTGTTTATTGTCAGATTTCTGAACACCATCCTGCATAGTGGTTATGTAAGGGAGAAACAAAGTCCATGCATAGTTCCATACTGTCTCATCTTGCACATACAGAATACAAAATTGATGTTAACAAAGCGACTTTCAAAGTCATCTACCGTATACCAACTAAGCTTAATTTTACCTCAAGAGTTCGTCTACTACATACTGCTGAGGCTGGCTGTTGGAATCCATCCTAATTAAGAAGCCTAATCTATGTATCCAAAAGAAGAAATTGGTTCAGACACTTTTTTTACCCCTCTGGCCGTCAAGATCTTAATGATCCTTAATTTGTTGTAGAGATTTCCTTAATTCTAATTTTATTTGATATTCTATTTACTATTACATTTTTATGCTTATTATAACTTATGCATCTTTCTTGAACTGTGATCTTAACAAATCGATATTATTTAAACGAAACACCAATATTGTTAATGGCGATTATTCTAGAATATTCTGTGTATATAAATATACGTGTACAAATAATTGTAGAGCCGTAAGAGGAAATTATCGAAAAGACTATCCTTTGCTCAGATTTTCTTTTGTCTGCTAAATGTCTGAGTGAACATCTGCAGCGTTGAAGGTACCGACATTCAGTCGGCGATTCGAGCCCACGTACATATTTGTAGTGGGAAACTTTACCACGGGTAAATATGCTTGACAAAACAATTAATCAGCGAGTGATATTACACCTGACAGGGTTATCATCATTTTTGATTTCATTATGCGGCTGATAGGCGAATAAACACATCAGAATATAGAAAAGTCATCGGTGAATATAGTTTTTCTCTTTTTGTCCCTGGTCAGGCTAAAATAGTTAGAGAACCCGCTGAATCATTGGAAAACAGGAATTACACATCCAGTGCATTCTTCAGATGACAAGTAGACAGTGTACTAGTGTAACGACAGAAGACAAGGGCCAGGCAACTAACAGACTGTTTATTGCGAAAATGAACAGATATTTATAGATTTTTATGCACATTATTATTCGTTATCGTTAGCAGAGAGGTAACGTCTTCTGATTGGTTGTTTTCCTGCTGAAGGTTATTCTGTCATCTCTTTTTTGCCGTTTCTTAGACAGTCCGGTGATATATCTGCGAATCGTATCCGCCCACGCTAAGTCTGTTGTGATTGGTTGTTGAGTTCCTCAAGGTTAGACTTTGTTCTTGTTTTTTCTCATGACGCCGATTCGGGACGTAAACACTGACGTCTATATCACTGGCTTGCAGACAGCTCTCACCACACTAGCAGTTAAGCCTTTTGGTAGCTTAGTTAGACTATGAGACATACAAACAAACTTAAATTTGTCCCACTTTAGCTAGACTTGACTGGGAACTCCATTCATCATTTCTATGCATTGAAGTCATTCTGTAAACTGGAGACACATCTTGTAATTTATTAATTTTAATTTGTTATTTTTATTCCCTTAAGTTCCCAGTGGAACTCTAGAGCTTCAAGCTAGAGCTTCGAAATTTCAGTAGCAGTAGTGCTTTTCTGCGGGATTGGTTTTCTAGCCTCATGGTCAACCGTTCCTCTTTACCGCGGGCTTAACTATCGGTTAAGTGAGGTAAAGGAGTGCGTCGGCCAAGAATGACCCTAACCTATCCACCGTTACATTTGGCTTCAAACAGAAAAACCCAACTCCACAACTGATTTGAATCTAAGCCAGCAACTACACTTCTCACGCTACCTGAAGTTAAACTGATTCCCAGAATGAATTCCATCGCCCAGCCAAGTCCACAACCAATAGACTGAGCCCCACTGAGACACAATTTCTATTTCAATCCCTGACATTCTCGATAAGAGAATTACTTCAATTAAGTAAAGTCTGTTGTGGGAAGAGAAAACCCCAGAACAAGACAGAGTAATCGGAAAATATGATGAAATAATTGGTGTTATACAATATTTGTGTATTACGAATATAAGAGAGGAAATCTCTACTCATCTATATCTCGCTGAAATGAATGAAATGTTATTTTTTGTAGAAAATATTTAAATCGGTGAAAAGTGGATAAAATTTATACGAGAGTAAAAAACTTGAAGTCAACTGGTGGATAGTGACTAGCAGTGGAGTCCAGGATAAAGCACATTATAATCCTATTTGGGACTACCTCGTCGACTGGATGCATTTGCATTCCTCAGTGAGTGACGGTCTGCATGCCAAGTAATCCACAACGGGAAACTTACGGAATCCTTCGAAGTGAGGACAGGAGTAAGACAAGGCTGCCTACTATCGCCAATGATTTTCCTGATTGCAGTAGATTGGATAATGCGACAAACAGCGGGCAATGAGGAAACAGGCATAAAATGGACTCACACAAAGAACTTGGAGGATTTGGACTTCGCCGATGATATATGTCTGATTTCCCACAAACTGGAAGATATGCAAGTGAAAAGCAACAAGTTGGCAGAAGAAGCATCCAGAGAAGAGAGGACTTCAGGTAAACATAGAGGAAACATAGGTAGGTGATGAAGATTCCTGGCCAACAGCAACAGCAACAACAACAGACAACAATCTGCATAAATGGCGGAAATCTGAAAGAAACAACCTACTTTACCTACCAACCTGGAAGCATCGTTTCAACGACAGGCAGACGGAACTGACGAGGATATCACAGCAAGAATCGGAAAAGTAAGACACGCTTTCACGACTCTCAAGTCCGTGTGGAGGTCAACAGCACTCAGCATGAAAATGAAAATAAGATCCGGATTTTCAACTTCAATGTGAAGTCAGTGCTACTATTCGGATCAGAGACTTGGTGAGTCACAAAGAGCTTCTCAAACAAACTTCAGACCTTCATTAACAGTTGTCTTCGCTCAATACTCAAGATCAGATGGCTGGCTAGAAAAGATCAGCAACAGGGATCTCTGGGAGCGAACCAACCCAGCAGGAACCGATTGTGAAACAAATAGGCAGGAAGAAATGGAGATGGATTCGAGGCCATACTCTGAGGAAACCATCAAGTGGCATCACTAGACAAGCCATCGCTCGAGTAGAACCCGGTGAATGGGAAGCGGCGAGTTGGTCGTCAGTGCGAGGGTGACTTGGAGGAGGTCATGTGAAGAGGAGATGAAAACGTGTGGGCAGACTTGGAACCAGGTGAAGACTCTAGCAGAGAACCGAACGCAATGGAGACGCACGGCTGAAGCCCTATGTTCCTCTAGGAATTAAAGGAAATAATAATAATATAATAATAATAGTGAGTGACGGTGTTCCTACCGATTGTCGAACCCAGTGACCATAGTTTCCAAAGCAAAAGTGTTATCCACTACACCACTACTAACTGGGGAATGTAGGTACATCCAACCGACGAGTCCTAAAAAGGACGAAATGCGCATCCTGGATTCCACTGCTAGTCACCACCCACCAGTTCTATGAGTTTTATCATATATGGAAAATTTAAATCAGTTCACTCTATACAAAAAATTGCGCTGAAGATGTTGTCCAGAAGGGGTGGACGACGAAAGCTCCACAATTAAACCAACCAACCAGTTCAGAGAACACTACTAATTGTATTACATCCACCTGAGCTACAAATCTTCTCTATTATTTCAAAGTCTATATATTATTATTGACTCGATTTATATCTACAAGAGATTGAGTATATTAACATTCTATAATTTATATAATTTTTTATTTTTCTGTAGCAAAATCAAAAGTCTGTGAAGAGCTGTTCTGTTCCAATACCCTACATATTGTATTAATGATGGGTTTAGTCGGTATACTGACCTGTCTAATGGGTGTTATGGGTATGCTGTTAGCCAGAAAGTATCGTCATCGCCTGCATCAAACACGTAGTACATTTCTACGATCTAAAACAAAACTGAAGCAGTCTAATCATTCATCTGCTCCTCCGGCTCCTCCTCCTGGTTCTGGTGCCGCTGGTGCTGGTGCTGGAGGTGGCGGAGCTCCTCACCACCACGGACGTCATCACCATCATGATCAACATTGTCTACAATGCTCTGAAACAAATACACAATCGTTAATCTCATCATCGTCATTATTATCGAAAAGTTATTATAATCCAATCATCCAATCGACAATCACTCAACATTTACTTCATTATAAGCAGCAAACAGAACAACAACAATCAGAAAATGGTGCATTGAAGAGTTTGTTAACAGTTGATAATAATATTGATACTAATATTAACAGTAGTAGTAATAATAGTAGTAAATATAATAATAATAATAGTGATATCAGTAATATTAATCCGTCATGTACCATTGGTATGAAAGATTGTTGTAAATACTGGTTGAATGAACATTCTTACGCTAACCCTTTACTCATAAAAAACTCTTCTAATGATTTATCCCAATATCATCCACATGCGTGTCATCAATTACAACATGGACAACAAACACACACAGCTATACAACCCCAACAACACCACCAACAACATCAGTTGTCGTCATCTTCATCAGGAGCTACACCAAGTCATTGTTCATGTCTAAGTGATATTGTATTTAATGATAGGACAAAAAAGAATGCGCAGAATTCACATAATTCACATAATTACTATACATTTAAACGTTATACTACGCTACCGACAACCACATTGACACCATTGAATACAACAACAAGTTTTATGAAAGCAGATAATGAAAGCGGACTGATAAACAATAGGACGACAACATTTCTGCTTGAACCGATGAATCCGTTAATTCATACAAATGCTATCACTACTAACAATATCAGTGGTAATTTTCATGATACACTGACAACACCCTATCCAACAACTTTTATCAATCATAATAATAATAGTAGTAATAATGATGATAACAGTAAGAATACAATGTTCTTTTGTCCAGACCAATTGAGTAATCGTCACGATGCGTCTTTATACCAGCATCATAAACAACAACAACAACTATATTCTCAGGCGGACCGGTATGGTGTCCTTGATTCTGCTGTCGGCGGGAATGATGAAAGTCTTAAGAATGTAAACTTTGTATATAATACTAATAATAGTAATAATAGTAGTAGTAATGACAATAAACCAGAGATTTCTTTACAGGAATATAAAAAACTGACTAGTCCATCCAATGATACAGTTTATTTTGGTGTAGATTTTCCTAATTCTAGTTATACTATAAATCCATTAGATTTGACGCTTTGTACAGATAGTTTACAAAAATTGCAAGCACAGACACAATCACAAATATTACAACCAATACTGGGTCAAGCACAACCACAACAAACAACATCAGCAACAACACCAGCAACAATACCAACAGTATGTAGAAGGCTGAACAGTTTAAGGTAGGTTTTATAGTGAGTGATATTCTGTAAAATTACAAGTATTGTTATTCTTATTCCCCCAGGTTCTTAGTCTGTCTGTTTTCGACATAGAATTGCATTTGCAGCAGTTCAAGTCGCCACACTCCCTCCATGTAGCACACAAATCAAGAGAAGAAAGTAAAAAGAAATGCATAATAGAGACAGTAGACAGAGATATGAGACATTGGGTATTCTAAGTCACTGAGAACGATTTTGAGCCATATCACACACCAGTTGTCTCCAGCCATTGGTGTTTACCGTCCCGAGGACCCCAACCAGGAAGTCTACACCTTCCTACGTAGCTGGCTTAAACTAACTGTTGTGGATTTCATTGACTGGTGCCACCATGTTTTGGTTTGACTGCCGGCAGCTCTTCTCCAACCTGATGCATCCTATGTCAGCTAACATTGTGTAACATGCGTAACACATGTCCTAACCATCTCAGTCGATGTAGCTTCACAACCTCATCGATTGATTTCCCCTCCTTACCTAGCACTCGACGGCTAACCTCAATATTGCTCACTCTATTTTACTACTTAACATGGGAGATAGAACGCAGGCACCTATGATCAAAGACAGCTAGCCAGACTTTTCATATCTTCCACTCTCAATGGCCAAGTTCTTAGTGGAATATAGGAGGGGGTTTAGCATCTCCGCTTCATCCTGTTCTCTGCTGTCTTTTATAGCTAACTCTACTATCGCCCCCAACCTCTCATACTCCTCACACGATCTCCTCCGTGTCACTCTCACACTCAAAATCGAATCATCGTTCCCCTTTTTAAGGCTTCACCCAAGGGCCTGGAGCGTGGTCATTCAGCGGTCTTCTCAGAGTATTTCCAATCCATCACCATTTTCCTCGGCATATTCCTTGGCGTTTAGGTTCCTGTTTGATTCCGTTCCAATATTGGTTCCTTGTCACTTATCTCTCTAGACGGTCATCTAACCTTCAGTATAAAATCAGTGAAGGCAGCTGTTGATGAAAGTCTGAAGCTGCTCTTTGGAAAGGCATTTCGTGATGCTCCAAGTCTCTAAACCATACAAAATCACTGATTTGACATTAGTGTTGCAGGTCCACATCTTGTTCTCTTTATTTTGAGTGAAGAGTTCAAATTAATGAAGGTGTGTCTTCTTGGTTTTGACATTCTTAACTGTGCTGCTTGTCTGCACTTGACAACGATGCTACCTTGACAAGTGACAGAAATTTATCACTAAATTTCACTTAATTTTGCCCTTCTTATTAAATCCATGTTTGTTAATAATAATATGCGAACAAAATGTACAGAAATTTTCAGCGTATTTAGCTCCAAAATGTTCCCTATACATATAGACTTTACATGTACAGTAGTAATCTGAAGGATATCATGTGACGTCCTGTCGTTGCATCTGAAGAGAGAAACAGTTCTGTAAATTTTGTCTTCATTTCCTTCAAACATTGCACAGGGTCTTGTTGGAAGCTAATTACATGTGTGCGCGAGTTCATGTATTGGTCATTTGACATAATTGCACGAATAAAACACGAAATGTAGAAGAGTTTAAGCAATCTGATAGCCAAGAAATTTAAGCAGGCCTCCTCATGGTTCTAATTGAAAGGTTCTTGGTTGATTCAGGTCCCAAGTGGAACATAGGACTTCAACAACACATTTCCTCATCCTTCTATTTTCTTCTGTCCTCTTCAGATGGCTGGGTATACGAATCCCCATAATCTTTCATCTCCTCCTCCTTCTCTTGCCCAAATGATCTCCTCCATGTCACCCTCGCACTGACGACCCACTCGTCGCTTCCCACTTGGATTCCACTCCAGCGATGGCCTGCACTGAACGCTATATCATTGGACGGTTTCCTCAGTGGCGTGTGCCTTATTCGTCTCCATTTTCTCCTACATAGTTGTTAGGATAGTTTCTTGCCTGTTGGTTTGCTCCACTGCGAAGTTTCTTGTTGCGAATTCTGTCTGGCGAGACAACCTTTTCATCTTCAATATAGAGCCAGCGAAGACAGCATTTATTGATAAAAGTCTGCAGAATGGCCTGTTGGAAGTGCTTTTTGTGACTCACATGCAGTGCACATAGTGGAAGAACTGGCTGACTGACTCACTTGACATTTGTGTTGAAAACCTGAATCTTGTTGTCCATTCTGTCTGGCTGAGTGAGTGCAGAAGATTTCCAAACTGATTTCTGATTGATGAAGGTGTATCTTGCCTTTCCCAATTCTGGCTGGCTGGCTTCGACCTCTTCATCCGTTCTGCCCACCTGTGATTGAAACCATGCTTCCTTGACACGTAAGTGAAGGAAGGAATTAGTGTTCTTAAAATTTCTTCCGTTGATAGTGTTTGGTGCTGTTTGTTGTTGGTGTTGATGGTGTTTGGTTATCTTCATCACCTCCGTCTTTTCTCCGTTCACTTGGAGTCATTTCTTTGCTGTATTGCTTTTTCAGCCAGTCGTTTGGTTTTCGCCTGCCTGCCTGCAAGCCTCTGAGTTTGTGCATGTGTGACACTAGACATAAATCATCCACACGCGAAATCCAAATCTTCTAGGGTCTTCTTATCGGTTAGTGCAGCGTTTTCCATATCTTCTTGCTACCTACAGTCTGACGCATTATCATTGGTGATAATACTAAGGTGAAATATTATTCAATGACCCTATTAGAGACGACAAAAAATCAATAGTTTTTACAAGTTGATCATGGATTGATATCAGTTAGAGAACCATTGAAAACGAGCACTGGAGTACTGCCAGACAGCTGTTTCATCCTAGTTTTGGGAATCATAGGCAGTACACACCCACCTTACTCCCAGAGTTCGAACCCAGGACCTTCCAGTTACAAGGCAAGTAATCTCGTATACCATTCAGCCACTGGGACCTGATTCTTCAGTGGCCATCCCATGAATTCTAACTTCTACCAATTCGTGATTTAGCGCGACGACCAACCAATGTCGTCGGTTTTTGATGAACAGAATCGGTATACTTTTTTGTAAAGGTTATCTCATTCATTAAACATGAGAATCGTCTACAGAGCTTTTCATTTTCTTTGAATGCATGGAGGATTTCATCATGAGCTGACATCAGTTAGAGAACCACTGGAAAACCATCAGTGAGTACTGGACAACCAGCTGTTTCGTCAGCCTAGTTTGGGACTCTTCACAGTACACACCCACCACAGGGGTTCGAACCCAGGACCTTCCGGTTACAAGGCGAGCTAGCTCGTAGACCATTCAGCCAGCCACTGAGACCCGATCCAATGGCCAGTCCATGAATTCTAACTTCTGCTAATTCATGCACGACATTGCGCGACCATTTCTTCGATGAGTTACTGCCTCATCTTCAACCTGCTGTACCCTACTGGTCACGGCTTTTTCATTTTCTCTTAAATCATACCTGATAAATGATTTTGAATCAAATCTATGAATCTTTAAGGTAAGAAAATGTTGACAAATTGAATCATTACATAATTTTACTAAATATGTACGTGTCAAAGTGGTAATATTTCATCGTTTTTATATGACCAACATCAATGCCTAGCCTAGTTGACGGCCTACAATACCTTCGAAAGTGTTAAGCTAAATGTGTATCTCATACTCTTAATAGCATCTTTGTTTCTGAAGCATTTTTCCTTCATTATTTTTTACAGATGTACATCCTAGAAAGAGGCCCACACACAGAAGAGGGTGAAGTGAACCAAATAATCAACCAGAAATTGAAACATCATAAACACAATCACTTCAGAAATGAAACGTATTCATGACTGTAGACAGTCATTTTCAAGAGAGAGAAAAGACTATGTTGGAACCAATAGCACTCTCGATGGTTGTGTAACCTTGACAAAATAATTCCTTAGCACTAGAGATTACCAAATACTACCAATACATACATGTACACAGGCACACACACACAAACAAACACATGAATCCCAAATGCACAGTTACATAATTGAATTTTCCTGTATACTTAGTCGATGTTGATATTGTTGTTGTTACCGTTGTTCTTTTCTGAATGCACCACTAATTTAGTCGTTGCTGCCGCATTATTATTATTGTTAATCAGTTGGCAGATGTATTCCTCTCTGAAGTCTTCAACTCTCCAGGTTTTTATCAAAAGAACTTAGAGAATCTTAATGAAAACTGTAATATCTATTGTAATCTATTTTAAAATAACCGCGCGTTTTCGGTTGTTTGATTTTGATTTTGTTTTTCTGAATCATTTAGGTACACACACACTGTAATTTTTACTAATTTGTAGTTATTTTTTAATATGTGAAATATAAGAAAAAACGAATTTCAAAAAAAATAAGGTTTATTTAATATTTCAATAATTATTGCTTTTAATAGATGAATGGTAGTCTTCATATTCGTATCCAGGGAAAGGTTGGAATTTTGTAGACTGGTATAGTGTGCCGTATAAAGTTGATAAGGAAAGTGTTCAATGTGACCACTAAACTAGGAGACTCGCCAGTGATCAGTCAGTGTATTTAGTCCAATTCTTCAGGCATTAGTCTTACTGTGGCGTATCCTACTTATAAGATTTATCAGTAGTATATACATAAAGAGATGCTCGTCGCAGCATAAAAACATCAAATAGCAGGGAGATAGATTTGATATCAGAGAAAGCAAATGAAACAACATCACGGAGATACATGGGAGACATGGAAGGAACACAAAGAAACACACACACAATATGAAGGAAGGGCAGAAGTAGCACAAGACGAAAGATCTGTGAAAATCGTGCGTTGAAGAGATGCCAAATTTCAATATAGCAAAAATATTCATTCAGACATCTATAAAACACAAATGCAGTTCCTTGGGAACAACATAAGCGAGATACTAACACAGCGCCTGAGAAATGCGGTCAAAACAGCATTCCCTGCTGCCGAATTACGCCGTGTCTTCAAAGCCACTCCTCTTTTGCATTCGGGAGTAGACAAACTGCCTAATTTCGCCTCTTCCATGTGTATCTACCAATTTAACTGCTCCTGTGGAGTGAGCCAGTTAGTTGC